GTGAGAATAGCAGCACAATTGGAAGAGCGTAGTCGATGTCACTGATCTGTGCATGTAGAAATTTTTGAAATGGTGTATCTTTGGCTATGTATATTTTCACCAAAAAAAGAGGTTGAGAAGGGAGAGGGTTGACATATGGGGTTGTTAACCAATGTCATAAAACAATATGTGTACTGCTGTTTAATGAGAAACTATTTGTTCTATAAACCTTCACCTGAAGTACAATAAAAATAAAATTAAATTAAAAAAAAAAAAGCTCACCTAGGGAACAAGGGCTTCTTGCTAAAGCGGCGCAGCTCCCCTCCACCTGAGTCCCCACCGCAGTGACAGCAGAATCACAGACTGACCTGCTCTTCGTGCTGACACCTGATCCTCAGCAGCTGGCCCTCGTGCTCCTCCTGCAGGCGCGCCACTTCTGCCTCGAATTGCAGCTGCAGCCGTTCCTCTAGGGCCTGGAGCTCCGCCTGCTGCTGCCAACGCAGCCGCTGCACCTCGTCCTCGAACCGCTTCTCCAGCTCCTCTTTCTCCTTCTGTAATCTCTCACATTTTGCTGTGTTGAAGGCTGCGGGAAGAGAGCAACTGGCTTTTACAAACACTGGTTAGGAGGTACCAAGAGGATTTCAGCTAAGCGACGCTAACAACCACGGTTAGATCATCAAGGTTTACTTAATAAACAAGGCGAGGTTGTCCTGCCTTTGTCGAGCTCCGCACTTTGTAAAGTGCTTTCTCTTCTATCTCACTGATGTTGCTGCTGTCGTTTGCTACCCTCGAGTCAGCCTCTGACTCATGGAGGCCTCATGTACAAAAGAACAAAATGCCGCCTGGTCCCGTGCCACCCCCGTGACCGTCGTGATCCATAGGGTTTCCATGGGTTGATTTTCAGAAGTAGATCTCCAGGACTTTCTTCGTAGTCTGTCTTAGTTTGGAAGCTCTGCTGAAACCCATTCAACATCATAGCAACACGCAAGCCCCACCAGGTGGTGACTGTTCATGAGGTGCATTGGCCAGGAATCAGACTCGGCTCTCCCGTGTGGAAGGTGTACTCACAGCAAATCCCTGGGGATGAGATGATCTGAGCCTCAGAGAGTTCAAGGAACTTGCCCAAGGTAATTCAGCTGCTTGGAGAAAGACTGGGAATGCGGATTTGGGCTTTCTGACTCCAAGCCCAGCATTCCTGCCACAAGCACAAAGTTGCTCAGAGGGTCCATGGACCAGAGGCATCAAAAGGGGGCATTTGTTAAAAACACAGATTCTTAGGCCCACCCTAGGTGAATCACAGCCCCTGAGGCAGAAGGCCTGGATCTGAAAAATTGTTTTTTCTTATAATGTTTTCTTGTGTTTTCAGCGAAGGTTTACGTAACAGTTTACGTTCTCAGTCAAAAAGTTCTGCACACCGGGGATTGGACAGCCCCATAAAACAAAATGGGACTAACGAGGCACAGCAGTCCAGGAACAAGAACTAGAAGGCAGAAGGGGACAGGAAAGCTGGTGAGAGGGAACCCAAGGTTGAGCAAGGGCAGTGTTGATGCGTAGTGGGGTTGTTAACCATTGTCATAGGGCAACATGTGTACTAACTGTTTAATGAGAAACTACTTTGTTCTGCAAACCTTCATCTAACGTGAGAATAGCAGCACAACTGGAAGAACATAATCGATGTCACTGTACCGTGCATGTAGAAATTTTTGAAATGGTGTATCTTTGGCTATGTATATTATCACCAAAAAAAAAAAGTTGAGAAGGGAGAGGGTTGACATGTCATGGGGTTGTTAACCAATGTCATAAAACAATATGTGTACTACTGTTTAATGAGAAACTGTTTGTTCTGTAAACCTTCACCTGAAGTACAATAAAAAATAATAATAAATGAAAAAAAAATGTGCTGGTTACCTGTAATTTCTATCCTAGGGGTTGTTGGTTATGATCAGGAACATCTTCTATAACATAACATTAGGAATATCACAACCAGGGCGGTTTGACAGCCTTTGCTGTTGCTGTTAGCTGCCATCAAGTCCCTCTGACTCATGGTGACCCCATGTACAGTGAGACAAAATGCTGCCCGGTCCTGCTCCATTGCCGTGATCAGATGTGGATCAGGCTGTTGTGATCCATTCGGGTTTTATTGACTGATTTTCGGGAGTAGACAAGGGCTTTGTTTGTTAGTGTGAGGGATGTTAGTACTCCCCCCCCCACACACACACTGGTGCAATGAGTGGTGGGCTGGCTAGATCTTGTACAGGCACCTCTGCCTTGGTATGTATGATGTGTAAGAATCTGGCCGGCCCAGCAGCCTGGCACTGTGTGTGCAGGCATTCTTGGCCGAGGACTTCAATTGGTCTAGTGCCCTATGTCCACTACTTAGTGGGGATTCTGCTGTGCAATCGGACGAAAATGTCTGGAGACTCTGCCAATGTAATCAGGCTGCACCGAGGGCAGGTGGTGGCAATAAAGGGACACACTGTCTGTTGAGAATTTCACAGCAATAGCCAAACGAACTTTAAAAGTCTTCTACTTTTTAGAGACAGAAAGGAGGTTAGTAGTCACCAGGGGCCGAGGAAAGGAGGACAAAAAACCAAACCAAACCCATTGCCATCGAGTTGATTCCGACCCCTAGCAACCCCAGGTGACAGAGTAGAACTGCCCCATAGGGTTTCCAAGGTTGTCATTTTTACGGAAGCAGATTGCCAGGTCTTTTCTCCTGTGGAGCTGTTGGTGGGTTCAAACCATCAATCTTTCTGTTAATAGCTGAGTACTTAACCATTGCGCCAGCAGGGCTCTCTCTCTCTCTGTATATATATGTGTATATGTGCGTGTAATGTATATGCATATATATGATGTAAAAAATCTAAAATATGATTAAAGCTGCATTTAGAACATCCTCAGATATATGTAATATAAAGGATAACAGTCTGCCCACTTATGAGTGTAAACATGAAGAGGTAGCATGATCCTTGAGACAACAGCAGAGTGAAATTGCTGTGGAACCATTTGTAAGACAAGCTTAATTTCAATCACAGTTCATAAATCTAATGAGTAGGAGAACACTCAGCCACTAAGATAAACGTGATTCAAACAACTGCCCCAAATATCTCTTTCGTAATTCTAACTTTTCATTGGTTTGCCAAAGAGGTAGCAAAGACTGGTGTTTACAGTGGTAGACCTGAGGAATATCTGGCTCTACGCCGTTGTTGTTGTTTTAGGTGCCATGGAGTCGGTTTCAACTCATAGCAACCCTACAGGACAGAGTAGAAGTGTCCCATAGGGTTTCCAAGGATCGGCTGGTGGATTTGGACTGCTGACCTTTTGGTTAGAAGTCGAGCTCTTCTGGCTCTATAGCTCATGATAAAAACATAAGGAATAATATTATACCGCCTTTTATACCATAGGGAATGCTTTAGATAAAACAGTTATAAAATAGATCATCTAGGTAGGATGAAATAATCCTGTGTATAAGTAAATGGTACTATTATAATAGCCATTATCATTACATACTGATGGAAGGAGATCCCAGTTAGATAAAAGATTAAATTGTTTCTTTGGACGATGAGGAGTAATTGAAAAGACAAAATAAGTTTCAAGGAAAAGCCTTAATTTAAAAATTACCCCTAATCTTACTACACAAAGAAAAGGAAGTTTTCAATTGCATAATCCCTTCATAGCCGTTACAAAGGTATGAGCTCTTAATATCCCATTAAGAATTTTCTATGTTTTCCTTTTTATCTTTTTTGGGCAACACTATATTCTCATGTTGCCGTGCCATAATTCATACCTCCTTATTGTATCACTTTCAAAAGATCAGAGCCATGGAAAACCCTGTGGAGCACAGTTCTACTCTGACACACACGGGGTCACCACGAATCAAAATCAACTCAATGTCAACTGTTTTTTTTTTTTAATTTTTGGACATTTTGTTTGTGTACAAGAATTACCTTATAAATAATGCAACAGACGTGTTCACTGTAAGCTGTTTTGCTTTTTTCTTTAAAATAAATTCCTAGGAGTGGAATTAGACAGGATTAAAGATGAGGATCATCTTTACGTAGGGAAAAATATTTTCTGGACGGCAGTGATCCTTGTAACAAGCTGGTGCCCACCAGGGGGCGCTAGGGGGCCTGCAACATGCACTCTGGCGGCAAACACCTTCGTCCGAACTTATTATACAGTGAAACGAAAGCTGGAACCTGTGTAAGGTGGAAACCTGTCAGAGAAGGAAAACATTTTCCATGAAAATGAGTGATAGAAAAGTGGTAATAATGCACTCTGTCAAAGGTGGACAACTTGCGAGACCCGGAAAAACAAGGCAATCCCCTTGAGTTCTGGCTCTCGTAGGTTTCACCGTATCACAGTGCAACATCCAGGAAGCAAACAGGGTCAGCCTCCTGGAACAGGCCACCTCGTATCCTGGCCACACTGCCTTTTCCAGCCCTACTTTCTCTCCCTAAGACCCTCTTTTGGATGAAAATGTCAAGAAGAGAGAAAGCAGCGGCTGAAAATGACATATGAAAAGTTCATGGGCCATGAGCAGAAAGAGAGTGCAGTAGCTAGGTAGAGAGTCAGTGGGTCTCCTGGCGTCTCTGCAGGTCCCCGCAGCTTCTTGGGGCTCCGTGACTTCTATGGGAGCTGGTACTATAACACCAAGAGCTGGCTTTTATAGAGCGCTGACTGTGTGCCAAGCTCTGGACACACCTCACATCACCTAGACAGGTATTGTTACTATCATCTCCATTTGCAGATGGGCAGGTGGAGGTAGGCTCAGAGAGGGTAAAACCAACTTATATAAGGTCACGGTGTGAGTAGGCTGGGACTCAAAGAGTAGAGGCTGGAGCACATGCCCGAGTCTATCCTATTTCCTCAGCGCCACACGGACGACCTTATCCTCGGGTGGGAGAAGGTTACCATGGCATCTCCACAAGACACAAGTATTTTAACATCTCAGCGATAAGGCAATGCTTGCAAGTCCCTGGATGGTGTGAACAGTTAACGTGCTCAGCTGATAATGGAAAGGTTGGAAGTTCAAGTTCACCCCGAGGCACCTCAGAAGAAAGGCCTGGTGATTTATTCCAAAAAATCAGCCATTAAAAACCCTATAGAGCACAGTTTTACTCTGATACACATGAGGTTGCCATGTGTTAGAGATAACTTGATGGCAACTGGCTTGGAGTTCCTGGGTGGTGCAAATGATTAATGCATTTGGCTGCTAACTAACCAAAAAGTTGGAGGTTCAAGTTCACCCAGAGGCACCTTGGAAGAAAGGCCAGGTGATCTCCTTCTGAAAAATCAGCCACTGAAAACCCTACAGAGCACATTTATATTCTGACACACATGGGGTCACTATGAGTCAGAAATGATTCCACAGCAACTGCTTTGGTGTTTTGATTTTTGGTAAGGCAGTGCTTTGGCATATTACTCTTAAATCTCTCAATTTGCTGTTTTGTCTGTCTCCGCTCGTGGGCAAGGATAGTGTCACATTCATTTTTGCATTTTGTAGGCGGGCAGGCAGACAGGCAAGCTGAGAGCCAATAAATGGTTATTGAGTTTATTGAGCACCTGTTATGCGCCACGCAC